ATCCAAAAACCTTTTTGCAATGATAACAACAAAAGATGTATTCTTGGCCTGCAGAAGCCTCAAATCCAGGTATGAACAAATAAATTATTTCATGTCAGTAGATTTACTACGCGCTATCCGGAGGCCTGGAATCTCCTTTGTTGATTATCAATTGTGGAGGAACACTTGAGCTAGTAAGGTTTGATGAGGATTGGGATTCACGGATTCGGGAGGGGTGACTTTCAACCGAGGACTTGGATTCATCTATGTAAACCCGGCGATTCCAATCTCCGGAGTCCGATAGCCGTTGGATATGTAACTCACGTGATCGTTTGATGATCGAATCAAATTAAAAATTAAAAATTGAGAAAGTTAAAATCGAATCGAGTCAGAGTCAGTCAGAGTGACTACTAAATAGATAAACAGATGGTCAAGAAAAAGAAAGAAAGAAACTCAAATCAAAACCAATCAAAACAGATCGATGAAATAAAGAAGTAAAGCAAAATCAAATTCATCCATCAAGAATAATAATATTTAGAAATGGAATCAAGTTTGAATCTAGACTTAGGTGAATTACAAAACTTACTACAATCTTTAACTTCTCCAACAATACCATCCTCAAATCAAATCTCAATTCCAAACCCATTACCAATTCAAGTACAAGCTCCAATCTCAATCCAATCTCAAGATTTGAATTCTCAAGTTTATCAACAATCAGTTTATAATCAAACTTATCACTCGAACTTTCATCAGATTCCTACTCATCATCAATACCAAACTAATTCATCATCATCATCAACAACGACAACAACTTCAAGCTCTCTTTCAGCTTTACTCAGTAATTTATCTTCACCTGTCAATCCGATCTTCTCTCAGCCTTTACCATCTTCTTCAAGCTCTTCAACTAATGATATTTTTAATCTAATCAATGCTTTACAACCGGTTTCACATTCTCAATACTATCAAGACCATCATCAGTTTCAATCAAATCCGAACCACACCTTCAACCGCAAAATCATCAATCAGTAGATCTAGAGATGACTTTAATCAAGATTCTTCCACTTCAATGCCATGTCCAAAGAAACTCAAACTTGCTTCTCCACCATTATCACCAATAAGTCCAAGAGAAGATACACCCGATCTTTCATACACTCATCAAAATCCAATTCATTCTCATTTTTCTTCATCAGGAATGATCAAGATCGAACTTCAATCAACTTCAATCTCACCTGATCCTTCGACGTCAACTTTCAAACCTTCACCACCACCACCAATCGAATGATCACCACCAATCAGATCATGAAAATGTTAATAAAACTTTAGATTCAACTTCAGCTTCTTCATCTCCTATTTCAAAAGATTTAACTCAATTAAAATTCTCTCAAGCTTTACCAATCTTAACCAAATTGATTGAAGGCTGACTCATTTTTAGATGCATTTCAAGATGTAAGTGCATTTATTTTTTTCAATTTTTCAATCCCAAGAAAAAAAAACGCCAGACGGGTTGAAGGTTTTAATCTTAATTTAATTCTTCTCGAGAGTTTTTCTTTTTTTCTTCTTCTTCTTCGTCTCTCTATTCTTGTTTCAATTTAAATCTTTTGATATTTAATAATTAGATGAAAGAAAAACAAGAAGAATTTGAACTAAGATTATTAGATGAACGTAATCGACTTAAAAATGAATATGAGCGTAATATCAAACAAGCTAAATCATCTGGGTGAGTTTTCTGTTTTATATTTCTTTTTTTTGATCTTTTTAATTCAGAGAAAAACTTCTTTTCATCTACTCCTTTCATTTGTATACGATTTTACAAATTTTCAACCATTCTCTGATACCACACTGATATATCTTAACAATCTTAATCTCCTATTCCCCATCAGAAAATCTACCACATGAAATCCGAGGTAAGACTTTCCTTTTTCAGAATCCAAGTACTTCGTCATACCAAACTGATTTTCATCATTTTATCTACAGCGAAGTGAAGAAAATATGAAAATTGAATTAGAAAAATTCGATCAATCAGCTTTGAATGAGATGGGATAGTTTAAAATCTCAACAACAACTTACCTTACAAAACGTGAGTGAATTTTGTGAATTTTTTTTTTCAACCAATTTCACCCCAGTTTACTTCAACCCTGTCCGTTTCTCTTACCAAATCAAATTCAATCTCTTCACTTTTGTTTCATGAGGTGATTTGATCAAGTCTAAAATAATACTAATCTATATTGCTTCTTTTCTCATTCTTCCCTTTAAACTTCTCGATATATAAATCTCAACAAACGGTTTCGATCAATTTTATTTTTATTCTTCATTTTTTATTCCCCTGTATGGTTTGATTTTTTTTTTGCTATTCTCAGTTAGGAGTACCTACATTTTGTTTAACAAAAGATTTAGTAATTCTAAAACGACAACATCAAGTATTAGAAGTGATTTTAAGTTCATTGAATGATAGAGAGACTAATTTAAATTCAGAAGAATAAAATCAATCCAAGCGAAAAACTTGAATTGAGTTTTGTGTTTTGTTTTGAACGTATTTCACTTTTCTTTTTGTTGGTTCTTTTGTTTTTGAAAAAAGATCACCGTTCAGAAGATTGGTTCATTTTTCAATTTATATTATATATATAGAAATTTGGGTTCATTTAATGATATGTTTCTTTTTTTTACTTACTTTAATCAAATATCATTTGTATTGATAATTCAATAAGATCAAGGAAAGAAGATGAATCTTTTTTTTGAAATAATAAAGATCAAGCTAAAGTTGAAAGGTGAAGAGAAGAAAAAAGGTTTTAATTTATTCTTTTGTTTTCAAAGTTAAAGAAACAGAGAATTAAACTTGATTACATTTCTGTTTGGAAATCAATTTAGATAAATAGAAACGATGAAAGTAAAAAATGAATAAGTTGGATATGGCTATGATTTGATTATGGTAACAAAAGTCATTCAACAGTCTGGCTTGGTTTTGAGGAAAGTCACTGTCAGTAAGGATTGATGAATACTTTTGTTTTCAAGCGCCCCGACCATGATCAGAGGTGCCCGAATCATATTTCGGATCGGATGAAACAGAAGTCTCGGGATCGGGTCATGTACTTACTGAAAGATATAGCTTGAGATTGAGATTCAGTTCAAGATAGAAGTAACATCCGAAATTGAATTTATCAAAAATTAAAATCAACCATCATCAAAGCATAAGAAAGATTTCAAGAAAGAAAAAAAAACCCTTGGAAAAAAAATCAAGTTAAAAGAAAGATGAATAAAAAAGATCAAGAGGTGGATTGAAGGAAGAAGAAGATCAAGCGAAATTAAATAAACGATTGAATAAAACTAATTCGTTTACTTCAAATGAAGAAAACTTGATTCAATCAAATCAAATTAAAGATCAAGTTGATGAAAATGAAAATGAAGATGAAAATGAAGAATTAAGTCATGAATTAATGAATCAAGTTGAAAAAGAAAAAGAAAAAGAAAAAGAAAAAGAAAAAGAAAAAGAAGTGGAAGAAGAAGAAGTTCAAGGAAAGGGAAAAGGTAAAGCAAAGGATCATCAGGAGGAAGTAGATGAGGAAGAGGAAGAAGAAGAGGAAGAAGAAGAGGAAGAAGAAGAAGAAGAGGAAGAGGAAGAGGAAGATGATGCTGATAAAATAGAAGGAGTAAAAGGAAAAGAAAAAGAAGAAGAAACTTTAGTGAATGCTTCAACAAATGAAACTAATTCAACCTCTCGAATCAACACAAGTGAGGAAGACCAACAAAGTCTAGAGCCATCCGGATCAACAGCAATTTTTTCAAATGGAGATTGGCAAGCAATATATGATTATCAGTAAGTGATCAAGACCTAATCAACCCAAAAATGAATAAAGATAGAACTGAGATGAATTCGAACCAAATGGATGATACAAATTTCAATAGACAATTAGCTTATTACTATGTAAACTCAAGAACAGGTGAAAGTACATGGCAAAACCCATTTGAGATGAACATTACAAACCAGAAGGATTCAAATCAAACTGAAGAAAACTTCAATGGAATCGATCCTGAATTAGCTTACTTAGATCCAAGTTCATCTAAATCAAATCCGTTTAGTTTTAAAGCTGAATTTAATTCAAAAACAGGTCGATTTCAATCTTCTTCTTACTTCTACTCATTCTTTGAATTCTCATGAAAAGTTTTCTGAAATTCAACGATTTAAAACTCAAGCAAATGTTTATTTCGATTTAGAAAGTTGGGAAAAAAGGTAAGAAATCAAAAAATCTTCATCCGACGATCATCATCCCCCCAAAAAAAAAACTTTAATTATTATTTGAAAAAAATCTCAAGACTGATTCGATTTGAAACTTTTTTTCTTTCTTTTGATATCATAAATCAGTTTAGAAAAATCAAATGGAAGGATTAAAGGAATGAAGAAAGAAGAAGAAGAAATTCAAAATAAGAAAAAAAGATTAAGTTCGATCGAATTAAAGAAATTTAAAGAAGAGAAATTCAAACGAAAGTTGAAAAGGAAAACAGATTGGTTAAAATCTTAAAAACAAAACACCTTTTCCTTTCTCTTTCCTTTCTCTTTCCTTTCTCTTTCCTTTTTCTTTTCTTTCAATTCTTTTTCTTTCTTTCTTTCTTTCTTTCTTTCTTTCTTTTAGATTCTTCCTTTTTTCTTTCTTTCAAACTCTTTCTGTTCCTTTTCTTTTAAATCCTTTCTCTTCCTTTCTTTTGAATTCTTTCTTGTTCTTTCTTTTTCTTTTTCTTTTTCTTCTTTTCTTTTGATTTTTTCTCCCTTCTCCTACTTCTCCTTTTAGAATCACAAACTTTTCATTCCATTGCAAACTTTAAATCTCTACATCTTTTAAAACCCCCAAAAAAAACCTGTAATAATCAAACTAGTTTCTTAAATTCAAAATTCATAAGAAACCCATCAATTGTATACCTACTTTTTTCTATAAGAAATTCAATCTGAACCAAAGTTAAGAAATAAATAAAAAATCATCAATTTTGAATCATATCTCAATTGTAATTATCAAGTATGTTTTGAAATGCAGGCCCGTTTAGCATAGTCGTTATTGCGCGGCACTTGTATGATCTTAACTTCTTCATTCAATGCCGAGGTCGCTAGTTCAAATCTGGCAACGGGCACCCAAACCCATCTTTTTTTTCTTTTTTTGCTTTTTTTCTTTTTTTTTTGTCGGAAAAAAAAACAAAAATCAAATTCAAAAAACTGTAAAATGATATATGTATACTAAAGTGACGATCGAAATTTCGATCGAAAAAAAAAAATTCATCTCGATTTTTAAATCTTTGAAAATCCAATCTTTTTTTTTTCTTTTTTTGTTCAAAATGAATTCAAAAAAACACATATATATTTAATTTCAATTTCAATTTCAATCTCAAAAAAAAGTCATTCATTTATTCATCATCATCAATCAAAGAGAGAGAGAAAAAAAACCTCTTCAGAAAGTTTTGCTTTTTTGGTTTTTAAAAATAGAGAAAAAAAGAAAAAAAAAGGGTGAATTTAGTTCTTGAAGAGATATTTATATATTCTTTCTTTCTTGGAAAAAGAAAAATATAGATCAAATCAAAATCAAAATCAAAATCAAATCAAAAAACCATTTTCATCAAACCCATCAATAACACAAACCTAAAAAAAAATATACACACACTAATGAATCACAACAAGCAGAAAGAAAACAAAAAAAGAAGAAAATTGAAGAAAATTGAAGAAAAAAGAGATTAAGAAACAAAAAAAGAACATCATATGGGTGAATCAAAACAGAACCAAAACACACCCTTCTCTTCCCAAACACACCCAATCATCTCCTACTTGAAATTTTCACCCAACCCGAATCGAGAAAAAAAATTTCTCAAGAAACCCAAAAGGCTAAAGCAATGATCACATAAAGTGAAACGAGCATAGGCACCTTCCATATAATTACTTTTACCATCTTGAATCAAAAGGGTCGTTAACAAGACCGAGAAAACTAAACAAATCGTTTCAAAGTTTTCAAAATAAAGCTATTCGATTTCAACGAAGCATGAGAAGAAAGGGTAAGGAAAGAGATCATGAGATGAGTGAAGTTCAAATGAAAGAAAAGATTCAAGTGAATTCATGAGATAAGATAACGTACCGTTAAGGGTTTTCCAGTGATCCAACCAATGATGACCATGATTGGAATGACTCCAACAGCAATTTGCTAAAGATCCAAAAGGAAAAGTGATTAATTTAAAAAAAGAAGAATGAATGGAAATCAGGATCCAACTTACGATACTACTACCCACCGCCACTCCAATTAGCCAGTTCCATTTTACCTTTCATAGCCATCCAAACACTTGTTGCATGTTCCGCTGCATTTCCTACGATGGGTAATAAGATCAATCCGATAAACGCTTTCGGAATCCCTGCACTCGTCGCAAATTCATCAATCGAATCCACTAGATATTCAGCACAAAACGCAGTGATCACCGTCACTAAGACTAAGGCGATCGAAGCTGATTTCAAATTCATCGTCGATTCTTCTTCCGGTCCTTCTGATGCTTCATCTTGGTATAGATATGTGTGGGTCTTGAGTTGAAAGTAAAGGTAGAGGATGTACATTGCTAATAAGAGCTGAAAGCAAAAGAGATTATGGTGAGTGAAAGTGAAAGTGAAAGTTGAACATGGAAAAGGTCAACGTACGACTGATGTTCCACGGGAGATGACCAAGAGACCATGCTGAGCAGCATCATGAGGTAAAGTAGCCGTAAGATCATGTCCAGGATTCGCTAGACGATCCACAGTAGTAGTATAATAAGCCGCCGGAATGACCAGAGCGATACAAGCTAATAACATTAATGAAGCGGAAGCTTGTGCAGCAGTAGCTTGAAAACGAGATTCTTTGAATTTGAAACCAGCACCGATGAATGAACAACCCAAGACTAATAAGATATTAGATAAGATTGATCCTAACATTGAAGTTTGAACGATTCTTAATTGGTTTTGTGATAAAGCTACAATTCCCACCTGATTTTGAAGAGCCAAACAAGAGTTAGAATTCAATTCATCATCTCCTTTCCAAAAAAAAACTCAAGATTCACTTACGATTGCTTCTACTGCATTACCAAAGGTAGCATTCATCAGACCACCAAGAGTTGAACCGACTTTTAAAGCGACTTGTTCGGTTGCATCACCCAATAAGCTTGCCAAAGGAATGATGGCGATAAAGGAGATGATAAAATCTGAAGTGGAACCCCATTTTAAGAAATGAGATAAGAATGATAATGGAACGGCAATGAGGAGTAAGTTGAGATAAGATGAGAAAAAGAAGTGTTGAAAGGATTCGGTATTGGTAGGTGTGCTAGGCTGAAAGGCAAGAAAGTCATTCAGGTTAGTGTCTTGATGGATCATGTTTTAAAAGTCAAGAAACTGATGAGAGAGAGAGGGAGAGGGAGGGAGGAATGGATGATGATCTGAGCAGATAACAAGGATATGGTTTGTTGAGAGTTGTCGAATTTGAAGAGTTTCGATCAAAGTTGAGCGTGTATCAATTTGATCATATTCAAGATGCTCACGCCAAAGAAGAGTTTGCGAGCGTCGCCAGGGGAAATGAGAGGTGAAGGGGGATGAAATGAGTTTGGAATCTGAGAAGGGAGTGAGGAAGAGGAAATGAAGTTCGATCGATAGGATTTGATTAGCCGATGAGTCAATCGATTTGAAAAGAAAAGATAAAAGAAATAAGTAGATAAGGTGTGTGATGAGATAAGTTTTGGGTCAACGTATGGAATGCATTCAATATTATGACTGATCAAGTGTGTTTCTCAACTCATCTCAAAGTAAAAGAAAGAAAGAAATCAAATTGAAGAATGAGCGAGCGATAGAAAGAAGATCACAAACATGAAGTGCATAACCACTATCCGATCGAATATGACTCGGTCGATTCGATTCGATATCTTGAATGAGTGGCGTAGTTTCATTCTCAACTGAATCAATCCGAAGTGAAGGTTTCTCTGATCATATGTAAAAGAGAAACGAAACATTCTCAACTTTTGATTAAAAGATGATGATGATGATGATCTGAATGAAGTTAGATGAATCGAGATGACTTACGTTGGGACATGGTTTAGTAAGTTATAAGGTAACAGATCAGGATGAAGAGATGAATTTTGAAGGATGGTAAGTAAGATTGACTGAGATGAAGTGAGTCTGTCTGATGATTTGATTTTGAGTTTAAGTTCGATGCTTTGTTTGAATGATCAATTGAAGGTTGGATTTCAATTTGATTTACAAATTTGAGAATCAAATCAAATCAAATCAAATGAAGCGAAGTGTAGAACGAAGGTTGAAGCTACAAGCTATTGGATTTGATGTCGATTGAGATCTTGAAGGCTGCTGCGGTGTAGAAGATGGTAGTGAAGATAGAAAATCAAAGGTTAGTGGTTTACTAGATAAGTGTAGATACATTCAAGTAAGGGTACATACCTTCAAATGATGAATTTCGTTGACAATTTTCAAAGAATTCCACAACTCGAATGGAAAGAAAAGGTGGTGAGTTGAACCAACCAGACTGATGATCAATTGATTTGTTATTGTATCTTATCAACCAAACTAGTTTCAATTTCTTTACCTTTTACATAATCACTTCACTCCTTTTTTAAAATTAAAAATCAAAAACAATTTCTATTCTTGTACTCCTCGACACTGCCACACTTTTCATTCAATTCAACTCAAAACTCATCTTTTTACAAAACTTGATTAAAATTAGTTATTACTTCATTCAATCAAACTGAAATTGAAATCAAATCAAACTCAAACAAACACCTATTAAGTATGTAGCCTAAACACAATCACACCCATCAGGATAACATTCTGCATTTGATCATTCATTTCATTCTTAAACATCTATCATCATCTTCATCAGTTTCTGAATCTTGAAGCTCTTTAAACCTGAAAAGTGAATGAGTATTCGGATTGTTCATGAACGTCTTCACTGTTCTGTATGTATGGAAGTGCCAAGAGAGAATTGGATGAAGATGCATACAGATCACTACTTACTTAACATCTTCAATTCAATCCTAACTGAAGCCTGTCATCATCAAGCAGGAGATAAGCACTGCGAACGAAGGCTTGGAGGGACTTCAAAAAAAGAAGAGTTCTGTACTTAGCATTTTGAAAATTTAACAAAGAAAATCAAAGAAGTACTTACCAGTGATGAAGTACTTATGTACATACACTTTTGATGATTTTATGTAATTCACAAAGTCAAGAAAAACCTTTTCGAGAAAGCCATCTGATTCAAAACTTGACTTGAAAATCATTCTTCAAGTCGAAAATTCCTTACGTGATTGACTTCAAGTCTGTGTGTGTGTGTGTGTGTGGATGGGTGGATGCAGGGTTGCAGGTATGAGTATGAGTGTACTCAGCTCATACTCACTTTCCCGCGTTTTCGGCCCCGGACCGGAGTATAGTACTCCCGATGTGGACCGGTGGAGTCGAACTCCACCTCGGAAACTCACATCAATGCTGTACAGTGAGTACAGCATACTCACGTGCGCCCCCCTTCCGCGCCATGTACTCATATATACCGCTTTCCCGCCGCACTTTGTTTGGATGAGTATACTCACCCAAACAAGGCGGATATTCCTTTAGGATATCATTTCGACACTTGACCCAAACAACCTTCGATATCAATCCGATTCGGCCTCATCAAGATCTTAACTAACGAGCTCCCTCCACCTCCACCATATTTCATCAATCTCAATCCCACGCAATCTCGTTGCTCACCCCATCTACTCGCCTCCAAACAAGCCGCTCCTTTGGACCTTGGATCAGCCTCGATCGAATTGTGTGGCTCCCTGTTCCCATTATCGGATTGAATCATGGCTCTGGATTCGTCAGGCCACATCGAATTATGGCTTCCAGCGCTGGCGTGGGTCAATTCCGACGTGAAGGCCTTTGGAGATGGCAATTGGACCTTTGACCACAGGTGAGCTCATATATTCTACGACCCTTATGAGGCTCTGTATCTCTCTTTGTTCTCGTTTTTCAGTTTTTATTGACATTGCTTCCCTTCATTTCTCTTTTGATAATTTGATTAGACCTGTTCGTTACCTTGAAAACGTCATCATGCCTCGATTCCCTGCGAAACCGCCTGCCAAAGAAACCC